CAAAAAAGACGGAAATCAGAAGACCACTAGGTTCGCGATGATACTTCTATTTTCCAAACACAAGGAGAATCAATGTGTCACACAAGAGTGTGAGAGCAAAATATATAAGAATGTCCGAACAAGTGTGTGAGCGAATATTCAAAATTAACAAATGAATAGGAGTTAGGTTTATGGTTAGAGTTAGGAGTAAGTTTAAGAACTATGTGGGAAATATCAATAGATCTAAAAGTAGGATGACCTGCAGTCACTTGGATGAATGCATCTATCGCGCATGGTACGATTTATTTGTAGATCATCTGTGTGGTGACTGGGAAACATTCTTATAACACAAACGACAACTATATAGCACAATATCATGTCTGCAATGTTTTTAGTGCATTTTTTCAAAGATTATCTGACTTTTTGCATTTGAATTATAATTGGTTATCGAAGGCTATCCTGCGTAACAGTTTCATGCCTTTTTAATTCATTATTATCGTGCATACATGTATTTTATACGCAAAACTCGCCTCTATCATATGGTTGATAGGTTTCAGGTCATTCGTTCGTTGGTGCTTGCTGGTGTTCACCGTTTAACTTTGCCCATCATTGAATAAAAGAGAAACGAATCAAAAACAGAGACAAAACGTTGTAAAGAGATATGTTTTTATAAAAAGAAAAAAGAGAACGTGAAACCATTGACTTACCCTACGACTTTGTGAAAATAGTAAAACTTTGTGTCCTTGATCAAACCAATTCTTAAGAAGTGAAGCAACCACTAACATTTTACTAGATCGACGTGGACAACCAAATCTCGACCATGAATAAGATAAGCAGACATTTTCAATGCCTTGTTTATCAACTTCATATTCTTCATTTAAAAAACAACTATCTCTCGGTCCACCTGTAGCCAAATCTGGATGATTGCATAGATTTCGCAATAGGATTAAAGACGGAAAAATCTAGAGAAACAAAAGAGAAATCTAGAAATGCAATAACTATTCAGTATTTAGCTAGAGCTATGTGCACAAGACAAAGGAATAAGAGTTGGCTTTCAAAACAGAGATAACAACACCATTTAATTATGAATAACTCAACTTAAAACTTACATTGCCTTTACCATTTAACAGATCTTTACATGTTTGTGATTCCAAATATTCGCGATAAAGTTTCCGTTGATATTCCGTTAGTCGACAAAATAAAACCTGTAAACGATAAATTTACATATCATGATATATATATATATATATATATATATACATGGTGTGTACTATTGATGAGAATGTTAAAATGACCGCTATTCTACAACCTATTTGTCATAAATTTCAATAAGACAATAATTCTACTAGATAAACTACTAAGTCCTGATGAATTTCTACGGACAGTGGATGCATCTGACTGACTAGCACGTGATTCTGAAGCTTCGAATACTTGGGAGACTCTATAATATGTCCACCGACGCATGTGCTTATGAAATCGATGTAATTATGAAAAATAAACTTTAGCTATAAAGGCAAGTGTAGACTGCCTGGTCTCTGTGGACGAGTTGCTAAGAATTAATATCTAGAGGACTTTTAGTGATATGATGGCGCAGATTAAAGCCTAATTATTCTCCACATGATTAATTTTTTATCCCGTATATTTGCGAGATTGTATTGCTTTCATCTCTTTTCTGTGCATATGTATATCTTTATAAAGTGTGATGAATTGAACTGTTCCACTTTAGTGGAAAGTTCTACACTTATACATTTATACTTATATCAAAGTTCTACACTGTTGGAAATTCAGTTCAGTCCATACACTAGTCTTCTTCAATTTCAGAAGTCAGTAATCTTACAACTACGATGCCAAGCGATAACTGACGGAACGGAGACAAACCAGTGACTAATATCTTTAATGAAGATATATTTAAAGAAATAACTTATGAATATGGATGGGTTAATTTTCAACTACTTTATCAATAAAAAATGCAATAAATCTTTGACTACAGTCATAGGTCTATTATTAGGCTTTTTGATTTAATAACCTTTGGCTTTTAATACAATTAGCAATTTGTTAAGTACACAGTTTAGAGTGCTATTTCTTTAGAAACCCAAAAATATTTAGATCACAACCCCTGTAAACTGTTTGTAAATGATACAAAGAAAGCAAGTTAAGTGTGCTGCCCTCTAGTTTCAATGGATAATGCTTTCTAATTATACTAACTTGATTTTAAGGGCGAATTATCTTTTGCTTCACTTGTAATTTGCATAGTACTGATTGGATAACATATTTAACTGTAGATAATTCATGAACACATATCATTTATAATTTAATGCAAAGACATTACTGACCAATATGATTATATTAAAGGAAGAGAGATGATTTACACCTATGTTCAACTTCCCGGCCGATAACTGCTACCTTGTCGTGGTGGTCGGGCTTGAATACCGCAATGACCCAACAAGCTGAACTGACTGGGACCCTGTCTCCACAGGTCCTACCATGTCAGGAAGGTTTTCTGGATAGCGGTTAAACTAAAAGCAGTTACCATGGGGTACATGGGCTCCAGTTTCCAATCGGATCAAATGGCGTATGAACCCACATGGGTCACCGGCAACCATGGGAATGCAGCTCCTGACGCTGCTCCGCTGCCTTGCGGATTAGACTCCAAGTCAAAGGCTCGGGGGTGGTCCCTTAATAAAGCCACCTGCTTCGGTCTGGGCGCCCGGGCAGTATCTCAGCCCGCACACAATGAATGAATTAAAGCAACGAACTCCCATTGAAACTCAACGCGCTAGTTAAAATGATTCCAAGCAATATTGATCCCTCAAGGAACTTATTTCCTTCCTACCCTACTTTTATTTTTATACATAGTTTCCTGTATTGTACCTTTTCTAACCTTGGCTTCTTAACCTTCGACAGCCTTTCGCCTTTGTCGAGATTCCCAGCCTATCCGTGTCGTTTCGAGATGTTAGTGAGTAGTCCTCAAAATGGTTGTTCCCAATGTGACATCTAACACGGATATCCTGAAACCGCGTGCTGCGTTCAAGCTGGCTACCTACAATGTTCGGACGCTGATGCAAATCGGACAACAGGCAGGGTTGGCAAGAACTTTGGAAAGCCTCGCTATCGATGTCTGCTGCATTTCGGAGACCCGCATTCAAGATCCCAGTGAAGTGCTTCGACTATCCTCTCCATCTGGAAGTTCTAGTAGTATGTACCACCTGCGCTTATCCGGGGACCCTGTGGCGTCGGCATCCGGCGTAGCTGGTGTCGGTGTCGCACTGAGCGCTAGAGCCGAAGCTGCACTGCTCGACTGGATTCCCATTAACAGTCGTTTATGTGCTGTGAGGCTGGAAGGTTATACGAAAGTAAGGGGTAGTAGGCCAGATAGGCGGTGTCTATTTGTTGTCTCTGCCTATGCACCGACGGATTGCAGCCCGGATGCAATGAAGGATGAGTTTTACTACCAACTGAGCGATCTCTTGAAACAGGCGGGTCGGAGGGATATCGTAGTGCTGGCTGGGGACTTGAATGCACAGGTGGGGCGTCTAAGCTCAGAGGAGAATCGTCTAGGTGGTCAGTGGGGACTACATGGTCGCAGGTCAGATAATGGGGACCGTCTTCTGCAGCTTTGCGCGGATCACAACCTATTTCTAGCTAGCACCAACTTCCGGCACAGCCATCGCCGTAGCGCTACCTGGCGTCCTCCCTCTGCGAAGCAAGCTTGGACTCAGATTGATCATATCGCGGTCAGTTTCCGGTGGCGGGATGCATACAAGACTGTCGCTCCTTCTGGAGCACATGCCTGGACTCCGATCATGCGTTAGTGTGTGCCAAGTTCGTCTTGCGATTTGGTGGGGTTCGTAAAAGCCGTCGTCTAAGCGTTGATGTGAGCAAACTAGTAGCACCTGCTACTTCTTTGAAATATCAGAATGAGTTAAAAACAATGCTTGCCAGCAACCCCCCAAGTAGTATAGATGAACATTGGCTTCATGTGCAAGGTGCCATGCAAAAGGCGAGTGTAGCCGCTTGCGGCTTGAAAGAATGCTCCGCTAACAACCACTGGGTTTCTGCGAGTTCCTTGCAACTCATGGATGAACGCCGGTCCATTCCGGCTGGCAGCGAATACAACAATCAGCGAAAGGCGCTCACGCGCAAGATTAGACAGTGTTTACGTAAGGACCGCGAAGCCTGGTGGTCAGAACGTGCGTGTGAGATGGAGTCAGCTGCTGCATCTGGCAACAGTCGGAAGCTGTTCCAACTCATACGAGCCACCGGCAGCAAGAAACAAGGTGTCAGCGAGACGGTCTGTGAGGCAGATGGCACTCCAATTACCAGCCTGAAAAGACGCCTGGAACGCTGGGCAGAGCACTTCGGGAAGCAGTTCAGCTGGCCACCAGCTTCAGTGTCTACTATCATTAGCCCGAGTGCTCCTTGGTCGGTTAGTACCGACCCACCCACCGAAGCGGAGGTCCGTAAGGAACTCCAAGTTCTGAAACGCCATAAGGCGCCCGGCCCAGACAAATTACCCCCGGCTCTTTTTAAAGATGGTGGCGAGACTCTCACAATGGCTCTAACTGGGTTGTTCAGGAAGGTGTGGGAGACAGAGAGTGTACCATCAATGTGGAACGAAGCCATTATCGTCCCCATCTTTAAAAAGGGTCGACGTAATTCGTGTGACAATCATAGGGGTATCAGTCTGTTACCAGTCGCGTCTAAAATATTGGCTGCTGTCTTGCTTCGCAGACTGTGCAAAATACGTGAAGGATTGATTCGCGAAGAGCAGGCTGGGTTTCGTTCAGGTCGTGGATGCATTGATCAGGTGTTCACCCTTCGTCAGTTGTTGGAACACCGCCACACGTATTGCAGGCCAACGATCGTTGTGTTTCTTGATATTAGGGCTGCCTTCGATTCGTTGGACAGAACTGTGCTCTGGAACTGTCTGTTAGAGAGAGGTGTACCTGAGAAATTTGTTAACATCCTGAAAGCCCTATACAGAAACACCTCAGGTAGAGTGAGGGCATACAACCAACTATCACCACTGTTCCCAACCAACAGTGGGGTTAGACAGGGTTGCCCAATCTCTCCGTTTCTCTTTAACTTTGCCATCGATGACATTCTGGAGTCAGCTCTGAAGGATGTGCGTGAAGGTGGTGTAGATCTGCTACCTGGAGATAGACTTTTCGACCTCGAGTATGCAGACGATATCGTCTTACTGTGCGATAGCATGCAGGCTGCCCAAATCGCACTTAATCAGTTGGCGATCAGTGTCTGTAAGTATGGTATGTGCTTTGCGCCGTCTAAGTGCAAAGTACTGTTACAAGATTGGCAGGAGCCTGTACCTGCACTCACTCTTGCGGGTGAACCGCTTGAAGTTGTTGATAAGTTTGTGTACCTGGGTAGTTGTGTGAGTGCTGGCGGAGGGGTGACGGATGAGATTTCCAACCGTATAATGAAGGCTAGGGTGGCATACATCAACTTGAGCCACCTCTGGCGCCGTCGCGACGTTAGCCTGGCTGTCAAAGGTCGGGTATACAATGCTTCGGTGCGAGCTGTTTGCTCTACGCCTGTGAAACCTGGCCTCTCCGAGCTGAGGATGTGCGGCGACTCTGCGTGTTCGATCACCGCTGTCTCCGCAGGATTGCTTGCGTTCGATGGCATCATCGCGTGAGTAATTCTGAGGTTCGGCGGCGTGTGTTTGAACAAAGTGGAGATCACTATTCCTTGAATGTCGTCATCTGGAAACACCGGCTCCGGTGGCTTGGACATGTGCTCCGAATGTCACCCCAGAGGCTTCCGTACAGGTCTCTGTTCGCTAGCCCTGGGACGGGATGGAAAAGGCGGAGAGGTGGTCAGTCCATGACGTGGCGTCGTGGGATGAAGGATTTTTGTGCTAGATTAGCATCGGTTGGTGTGTCACGACTCCCTGGTTGGGGTCCGAGAGATAGCTCAAATCGATGGCTCGAAACGTTATCGGATATGGCCAAGAATCGTAATCAGTGGCGAATGTGTTGTGATTTCCTTCTTTCTTCCCTTCCCGATGATAGCTAACGAACACTGTTTGAACTTGTTAAGCATGACTGTTTTCCTTCCAGATGAAGTTCTTTATCCGTTCTCTACTTATATATATTTTTTCTTTTCCTTCCTTCCTTTTTTTTTGATCTATGTTGTTTTATTATTATTGTGTGGCGCATCTTTCTTGGTGCCATATTGTACCAAGTTTTTTTATGCGTTTAAATAAATAAATAAATAATAAATATGTTCAACTTACTTGTTCAGATTTAGACGGCAGTTGTATTTGTACATCAGCTTTGAGTCGGCGAATAAGGTATGGCTTTAAAAGATCGCGTAGGGTACATGCACATTGATATGCTGTTTCAACCTTTAGGTGAAAAAACAATCAACAATAAATGATAGGGAGGAAACAGATTTTCGAATTATCTCCCAACTTATTGACCTTTAAGATGTTTAACAACAATAAAGTAAAGTCAGACTATTAGTAAACTAGACGCAAAAATTATCATTTTTTGATACATAGACAAATTTATACATCCGCATGGTAGGTTAATTTTATCGCTTATGAAATTCGGTAACTATAATCTTAGATTGTGAATATTTTAGTAATTTCTTTGCTTTTATATGGTTGAGTTTTAATAACAGAGCTTTCAACTTTGTCACTCCTCGTGAATCAACACCTTAGAAATGGATATAATAATGTCGGAAGTCATCTCTAGATCAAAACCAGTGGTCAAAAGAAAGAAACTATCAGAATGAATGAAAAGGAATAAACTAAGACGGTGACGAAACACTATTGAGATGATGTGATGGCTAACTGGTCGAGTAGTATAGGTATTTTTTAATGAAAGAAAATTGGAACTTACATACACAGGGTGCAACCAACATAGACGCAATAAAGAAATACTCATTCAACAACAAGCAGCCAGCCAAAGCTACTACTATTACGACTTTAAATTATATATATATATATATATATATATATATATCATTCCTTTGCGTCTCGGGTGGAGCACAGTGTAACAGCAGAAGGCAAGACACGGAAGCAAACGTGTATTTTCAATTGATCACACCGCTGTTTATATCTATACAATTTATATTTTTTAAACAATCATTGAGCGTGTGATCTTGATTTACATTAAACGACATGAAATAGATTGTTCAAATACATATATAGTATTGTGTTGCTAATGATGTATTGCTGTATTGAGCTGTGGGAATATGTGAGAATAATATTTCGTTGGAACACACTGTCTGTATCACACCATCACAATAGGGTTTCATACTCGAGCTTTGAAGTTTCAGTAGCGGTGGTGATGCTTTCACGAAGTGGGGTCGCTAGCTTCACGCCCAACCTTCCCTTTTTACTGAACTTCCTACTGGCTAAGCTAGGTTTAAGAGTGCAACGGTTGGGATTCGAACCCAGACTACATGCGTGGTTGGCAATCATGGCACCACTGAACCACAGACGCACATATTCGTATTTATGAACAAAATTTTTATGAAGAAAAACTATTACCATTACAACAACTTACTTGAAGTGGTGAGGCAGTAGCATAACCTCCCTGAGTAATCGGTATAGAAAATTGTTGCATAAATTCCGGTAGTGGTCCCAAGCGTCCCGGGCATACAAAATCGAAAATTGACCATAACTCGCGTAAATTATTTTGAATAGGACTACCAGAAAGAATTAGTCGATGCGGAGTTGAGAACTAAAACAATCATTTTTTTAAAATTACAATGAAAAAAGGTGAATAATTGAGACACCTACATGTTTTACAGCCAATGTGGCTTCAGCTTCTGGATTCTTTATTTTATGGCCTTCATCTAAAATAATATATGACCAATTTCGACTTGTCAGTACATCGCGATAGGTTACCAGAGTAGCATAGGTGGTTAGTAATACACTTCCTGGATTATTGGATATTGTTTGTATAAGTTTATTCTAAACAATTGTAATGAATACAAGAATAAACACTTAAGCAAGATGAACTGAAAAAAAAGAGAAAACCAACAAGATTTGTTAAAAAAGAAAAGAAATAATAATTCACTACTTACCGGTTTTCCGTAACCTGATCCAGTAGAATGTAATATAGCAACACGAATAGGTGGCCACCATGAATGAAATTCTGACATCCATTGTTTCAGTACTGTAGCTGGACAAACAATCAGACTTGGACCTAATCCAACGAAACTAATAAAATAAAAATTGTAAGTCAATGAATATATACAGAAAGTACAGAAAAAGTTCGTTCAACCCCTCCAACTTTCATGGTCTTAATCCCTGTATGCTAAAGTATGGTAATCCCCAATCACATTTTAGCTCTACCAATTTTTCATTTTGTCTTTTCGATTTGTAGTCTCTTCCTTATTACGTCAATTGTTACTATTACTATTTTCACTCTGAACTGTCCCCGGTATTATTTCACTTGTTCCACTTGTCCTTCTAAATCAATTCTTTTTAACAACGTTAAATTCCATGCTATCAAATTTCACACAATATTACGTAACGTTTTTATTTTATTCGATTTGTCTACTAATCCTATAATTACTCATTCTTTTCAAGTTCTATCCATCCTATGAATATATATATATATATTCGTTATTTATTTTGAGCATATAAATCAGAGATACGTAAATTTATGCATATACCTGTACAAAAAATACTTTCCCTTGTGTTTGTACATACCAATTTTGCGTGAAAATAGCAATAGCAACAACAACAACAATGTAGTAATTTATTGTACTTGAAATATTAGTATTTTGAGATGACGAAAATAGAAGGATCTAAACAAAACCCAGAGAGGGCAGCAATCAGGAATTTGTATTTAGCGGAATTCGAATGCAATTCATATAAGAAACATATCAACAGTCAACAGTATGTATTTTAAACAATACACAGATAGAAATTGTCAATCACCACATCCGCCACACCTCGAATATCTCCTCGCGTATTTATAGCGATGTCTCGGTTTGCTTGCAAGTAGCTGCGACCTTCTAACTGATTCTGTGATATTATGTCCATCACTGTTATCTGGACTTATTTCAGAATTATCTACAAAATCAGGATTATTAGCGGAATCATTAAAATAATAATTGGAACGACCTACTTCATTTATTGTCACTTTGTCCAGGTGTCTGTTATGAACTGAGTGATCTTTGATGTCTAATATCTTCACCACTCGATTTCCCATTTTTTGTAGTATAATTCCAACAGAAGGTCTGTAGTCATTCCCTTTGTAATAATGTACATTAGAAGTCGTGGACATCAGATGCTTTTTGAGAATTCGAGATTTGAAAAGTTTTGCATGACTTTCACGGGTACTTGTATGCTCTGCATTCGACAGACGCAGTCTATGCATATGCAACAATTCCTCCATTTTAATCAGTTGCTCTCTCATCTCATTCAGGTCTTTTCGTGTTTTCGACAGTTCACATTGTAACTCGGCTACCTCATTTTTGAAAACAGTTGACACTTGAGTTGCCGAACTTGTAGTGGAGGTTTTCGTTGGATTAGCTTAAGTATTTTGGAAGGTTGAAAGACACATTGACTCCATTTTACTAGACAGCTTGGGAGAATTATAAGAATGTTGAGCAACATAAGTACTCGAACTTCTGCAAACCGTCTTGATGTGTCCAGCTTTACCACATTTATAGCACTTAGCACCCCGAAAATGGCAAGTGCTTCGTAGATGTAACTTTCCACAGGATAAACACGGTTTAATGTTTTTGATCTCTCGCTGCATTCTATTACCTGTGGACGGCAGTTTGGATTTCTTTCCATGAACACTTGTATTTTCGACTTTGGACAGCATAACATCAGATACTGACGTAGTGGGAGCAGAGTATTCATTATGGACATCTTCATATGTAATACATACATCTTTAGCAGTTTGAAAGGTACAAGAAGGAATCTGAATTAACTCTTTCTCTAATTTAGGAATATTGATTCCAGCAATTAGACGATCACGTAGTTGAGTGTGCAGCTGATCTCCAAAATTACACTTTGAAGCTTGTATTTGGAGTTGTAGTATAAAGTCTCTTATCTTCTGATTGGGAGAACGTACCAGTTTGTTGAACTGAGCCCTCTCTCTCGTCTCAAAAGTAGTTACATGGAAGTGATCTATAAGAAGTTCACGGAGCTTAGCATATGGCAGCTAAATGGGTTTATCTGGAAATGCCAGATTCTTCACTAGGCTATATGCATCTAGCCCAATAGCGGTGATGAAATGAGCAGGTATTTTGTCATCCCGAACATTTTTTGAAATGCACCACGCATGGAAGCATTCCAAATAATCAGCAATCTCCCGCGGAGAACCATTAAGAGGAAATTTTCCCAGGTTACTTAGCTCCATCGCGACGCCAATTTGTAGTAATTTATTGTACTTGAAATATTAGTATTTTGAGATGACGAAAATAGAAGGATCTAAACAAAACCCAGAGAGGGCAGCAATCAGGAATTTGTATTTAGCGGAATTCGAATGCAATTCATATAAGAAACATATCAACAGTCAACAGTATGTATTTTAAACAATACACAGATAGAAATTGTCAATCACCACAAACAACAACAACAGAATGGTGATCAAAGTGTTAACAAAGCACTTGATCATTGAATAAAACTAGTTTAAGGGAATAGAGAATATTTCAAAGATGAATGCACTAGGAAAAACAAAGAAAAAATAACAAACAGTAATACACATGTCTACGTTAGCCTAGGCACTCTACCACAATAATTTTAAGGTGATTACTACTACTACTACTACCTCTTATACGCCCACACGTAGACTAGGTTTACGAATGTCAATGACTAAGACTCCACGATTACTTGTCTACTTTTTTTTCGTTGTCTATTGATAATACAGAAAGTTTCAATGATGGTATTGTCGTCTGCACTAAGGTGCTGCCGCGAAATCCGTTCGAATTAGTAAGTGAAGCTTGGTGTGTTGAGAAGAATTAGTGTCATACCTTCCCCTGGATTGTCCCATTTGGTAATGCTAGAAAGAAATACGAAATTCGGCTTTGTTGTAAGCTCTCTGTATAGACCAGTTCAACAGAAATAATCTCCTTTAAAAGATAAGTGAGTAAATACTAGTTTCCAGAGGTTATATAGAATGGTGTTATGTATTTGAGAAATACTTGTAAAAATGAAGTCTACAGAGTAACCATATTTCATCTGAATATCTTTCAGTGCTTTTACTTTTTAACCTATTGTTTTGTCACAGCAA